CCAAATGGCTTACAAAAGAGCACCAGACTGTCCTCAGGCTTTCCACCTGCAGCACTGGCAGCTAGAAGACTACAGAGTAAACTCTTATGACAACTTGGGGGAGAAAGGACCTTGACCTAAGGATTTGACACCCAGCCTGACAGGTTTCACCTGTCAGGGTGAGAGGATGTTTTTTGTGGATATGATATAGATCAGAGAGTACAGCACCTGCACACTCTGTGCAATTTATTCAAGAAAAGCCTCTATCTGAGTAACAAGTGAATAAAAGCAAAAATCTCAGGATAGGGGAAGATGAAGAGAGGTAACAAAAATAGTGAGAAATAAGCCTAATATGCATTTATATACCTAAATATAAATGTACACTGATAGAGCAACTAGGAACTTATTCTATAAATTTGGATTTATGATTATGGTGGGAGGTTTAAAAAGACTCCTTTATAATCATATCTAGCAAGCAAAAAAAAAGTAAAATCATAGAAGACTGGGATATTTCATTAACACCCTTCAGTACAGTAAATGTAAATAGGCACCCTATGTATCAATAAAGAGTGAGAATGAGACCTGGCCTTCCTGGGTAGAATGGAACCCCATAATTTCAGGGACACTAAACACCCCTCTTGGGAAACATTCTTCAGCCTGCTCATTGACCTTTAAATCAAGATGAGAAATGACTCTTTAGGTCTCAGGTTTTGTTCTCTATTCAAAGAGCTACTAAGTCTCAGAGAAGTCTTTATTTTAGGTTATGGTGACCACTTCCCTTCAGCAGAAGTTTGCTTGTTAAATTCTATCCTGAGAAGAGATCTAATAAGGTGTATACAGAGAGAGTACAAACTGAAAGAAAATGTGCTTGAGCTTGAGGGGGTAACAGAGGTGGGAAAGAACCCGGAAGATATTAAAAGGGGTAGTTCTGACCCACTTCAAGTTCACCTTGTCTGCCTCACAGGCTGGGGAAAAACTCCTGGCCCTTTTCTCTCCATACTCCTCTTCTCCTGTCCTTTCCACATCTATATTTAAACTGTTAAATTCATGGGTGATGGTACAAAGCATTGCTTTTTCTTTCAGCCTGATTCCTGAGGGAAGCAGTGGTACTCATGGAATTTCTCAAGCTTAGAGCATAATTAAGGGTGACTTGTAGCCCTGGAAAAAAAAAATCTGAATTTTAATTTGGGAGCTCCTGAGCGAGCAGTGTCCTTGACATTTGAAAATGCAAACCTTATCTGGAGGAGCCCTTTAGAGGCTGACAGGCCTTGTTGAACTTGAGCCATTTCAGAACCCACTGTAGGGTTATTTCTTATTCCTGTGTTTCAATTACATAGTGGCCGGAAATTCAATTAGGATGTAAGGGCTTTTTTCATTAATCCAGAGAACTAAATTTAAGCTTACATGACCATATTTTACAGTGAATACAGTAAAATAAATATTGTATTGGTTGTCTTTCTTATGTTAGTTTCCTCTTGCTATCATTGATATGCAAGAAACATAGTAATCCTGAAGCCTGAGAGTTCTCTCAGATGTCTCAGACCTGTCTTGTCCCACAGCTCCTCTGCTCTGCTATGACCTTTGAGAATTGCAGTTTTTACCCAGCTGTATCTGTTTCTAGCCTCTTCCCCTACCACATTTGTATGTATTACAAGAATGACCTCATTGTGGATGTCAGCACAGTATCACCTTGATGCCAAAGCCAGGAAAGGACATAACAAAAAAGAAAACCATAGACCAATATCCCTTATGTATATAAATGCAAAAATTCTCAATAAAATTCTAGCAAACTGAATTCAATTACACATCAAAAAAATCCACCACAACCAAGTGGGCTTCATGGCATGGATGCAAGGATGGTTCAACATACATAAATCCATAAATATGATTCACCACATAAACAGAAGCGAAAACAAAAACCATAGGATCATATCAATAGATGCATAAAAAGCATTTGATAAAATTCAGCATTCTTTTATAATAAGAACTCTTAAGAAAATGGGCATAGATGGAATACACCTTAAAATTATAAATGCCACATATATGACAAACTCACACCCAACATCACACTGAATGGGGAAAATGGTAAAAATTAAAAGCATTCCTGCTTATTTTTTTTTCTTTGTCACCCCAAACATGCTTCCAAGCATTCCTGCTTGGAACTGGAACTAGACAAGGTTGTCCACTGTCACCACTTCTATTCAATATAGTGCTGGAAGTTCTAGCCAGAGCAATCAGGCAAGAGAAGGAAATCAAGAGTATCCAAATAGGGAAAGCAGAGGTCAAACTATCTCTCTTTGCTGACAATATAATCTTATATCTAGAAAACCTCAATGATTCTGCCAAGAGACTCCTGGAATTGATAAATAAATTCATCAAAGTATCAGGTTATAAAATCAATGTACACAAATCAGTGGCATTCATATATGCCAACAGTCAAGCTGAGAATCAAATCAAAGACTCAATACCTTTCACAATAGCAACAAAGAAAATAAAATACCTACGAATATATTTAACTAAGGAGGTGAAAGACCTCTCTCTACAAGGAGAACTATGAATCACTGAGGAAGGAAATGGCAGAGGATGTATACAAATGGAAAAACATATCATGATCATGGATTGGCAGAATCAACATTGTTGAAATGTCTATACTACCCAAAGTGATTTACAGATTCAATGCAATCCCCATTAAAATCTCAACGTCATTTTTTGAAGATCTAGAAAAATAATCCTACACTTCATATGGAACGAGGAAAGACTCTGAATAGCCAAAGCAACTTAAGCAAAAAGAACAAACCAGAAGGCATCACTTTACCAGACTTCAGCTATACTACAAGACTATAGTAACCAAAACATCATAGTATTGGCACAAAAACAGAGACCAGACTAATGAATCAGAACAGACAACCCAGGTATAAAATCATCCTCATATTGCCATCTGATCTTTGACAAAGCAGAAAACAACATACACTGGGGGAAAAAATCCCTATTGAATAAATGGTGTTGGGAAAATTGGATAGCCACATATAGAAGGTTGAAACAGAATCCTTACATTTCACCACTCACAAAAATTAATTGAAGATGGATGACAGATTTAAACATAAGGCATGAAACTATAGGAATCCTAGAAGAAAATATTGGAAAAACTCTTATAGATATCCACCTAGGAAAATAATTTATGAAGAAGACTCCAAAGGCTATCACAGCAACAATGAAAGGTAATAAATGGGACTTGATTAAATTAAAAAGCTTCTGCACAGCCAAGGAAACAATACAGTGAATAGACAACCTACAGAATGGGAGAAAACATTTGCATGCTATACATCTGATAAACAGCTAATAACTAGAATCTATAAAGGACTCAAGCAAATCAGCAAGAAAACATCAAACAACCCCATAAAAAAGTGGGCAAAAGACATAAACAGAAGCTTTTCAAAAGAAGAAAGACTAATGGCCAATAAACATATGAAAAAATGCTCAATGTCTCTAATCATCAGGGAAATGCAAATCAAAACCACAATGAGAAATCACCTAACTCCAGTGAGAATGGCTTTTATCAAAAAGTCCCAAAACAACAGATGCTGGCATGGATTCAGAAACAAAAGAAAATTTATACACTGTTGGTGGGACTGCAAACTAGAACAACCTCTATGGAAAGTAGCATGGAGATACCTCAAAGAACTAAAAGTAGACCTACCATTTGATCCAGCCATCCCACTATTGGTATTTACCCAAAGGAAAAAAAGTCACTTTATCAAAAAGATATTTTCATTCAAATGTCTATTACGGCACAAGTCACACTCACAAAGATGTGGAATCAACCCAAATGCCCATTAATACATGAGTGGAGGCTGGGTGCGGTGACTCACACCTGTAATCCTAGTACTCTGGGAGGCCAAGGCAGGAGGATCACTCAAGGTCAGGAGTTCAAGACCAGCCTGAGCAAGAGTTAGACCCTGCCTCTACTAAAAATAGAAAGAAAATAGCTGGACAACTAAAAATATATAGAAAAAATTAGCCGGGCATGGTGGCACATGCCTATAGTCCCAGATACTCAGGAGGCTGAGGCAGAAGTATTGCTTGAACTCAGGAGTTTGAGGTTGCTGTGAGCTAGGTTGATGCCATGGCACTCTGGCCTGGGCAACACAGCGAGACTCTATCTCAAAATAAATAAATAAATAAATGCATAAATACATGAGTGGATTAATAAAATGTGGTATTTGTATATGATGGAGTACTACTTAGTCATAAAAAATGGTGAACTAATACCTTTTGTAACAACATGGATGGAACTGAGAACATTCTCCTAAGTGAAGTATTACAAACACTACACGTACTCACTATGAAATTGGAACTAATCGATCAACACTCATGTGCACATATGGAAGTAAAACTCAACAGAAATCAAGCAGGTGTTGGGGGAGGAGATGGGTGAAATCATACCTAATGGATACAGTGCACACTATCTGGTGATTGGCACACTTATAACTTTGACTCAAACTGTACAAAAGCAATTTATGTAGCCAAAATATTTGTACCTCTATAATATTCTGAAATTTAAAAAAATAACTAAATACTAAATAAATAAATGGCTTCAGTGAGTGGATGTGGTCTATGGGGAACTCAAGGGCAGTTGTGCCAAATCCAGATGTCAGCAAGGCTTCACCCTCAGGTGGTTCCCACTCTAGAAAGGAAGTCTGGGGGAAGCTGTGACCAACCTCATCCATGGAAACACCTTGCCTGACTCACACCCTGCCTGGGCTCTCCAGCAGGGCCTGCTCTTGTCCCTGCTTGCTCTTCTGGGCAGGCCTGGGGACTTGCTGAGTCATCCTGGGCCCCTGACTTGAGTTGATGGCTTCCCCAAGAGGCTACACCCACTAAAAGAACCAATACTGATGGAACCACAACTGCCTCTTCGGCCTTTTCAGCTCTCATCAATGGCAGCTTCCTGTGATTGCTTATTATTTTGTCACTACAGCTATCATACCCAATATTAACTCTTTGCTTCTTTATTTGGCTAGGACAAGAATTATTACTCCTAGTCTAGTCTTGGAGGACCTGAAGCTCAGAAGAATCAGACAACCTACACAAGGAAAACACAGTGAGCTGATGACAACACTGGATTGGGCCTCATGCCTCCCAATCTCATGTCACTTCCTTGTAGAGTGTCATTGTATTCATTTTCTATTGCTACTATAACAAATTACCACATATTTAGTGGCTTAAAGCAATAAAATTTATAATCTAACAGTTCCGAAGTTAGAATCTCATTGGGCTAAAATCAAGATGTTGGCAAGGCTATGTCCTTCTGAGGCTCTGAGGGAATCCATTTTCTTACCTGTTGCAGCTTCTGAGGCCAATGCATTCCTTGGTTCATGGTCCCTTCTTTCTTCAAAACCAGCATGCCCAGTCAAGTCATCCTCACATCATGTTACCCTGACACTCACTCTTTGTCTCCTGCTTCCACATTTAAGGATCCTTGTGATTGCACTGAGCCCACCTGGATAATGCAGGGCAATTTCTCTGTTTTCAGGTCAGCTGATGAGCAACCTTAATTCTCCTTTGTCATGTACCGTAACATACTCACAGGTTCAGAGGGTTAGTTCTTGGACATCTTTGGGGGACCATATGCTGCCTACCAGGGTCATGCACCTTTTCCCTGTGGTAGGAGATGGTGATGATAACCATAGTAATAGTGGCAGTTAGGATTCTAGTCCAGATGAGTCTTGCTTGAAGCTACAGGTCAGTACCTTTCTAATTTTCAACTGTGTTTGAGCCTTATCAGCCTTTAACATAGTTGGTGCCCCACATTTTCCAGCCTTCCAGAATTACCCTTTACTTAAGTATTCAAAGAACATAACACGCTCTAAGGCCAGAGGAATTCCAGCTCTCTCCCAAATGTTGCCAAGAATTTCTGGATGCACATCCACCCTCATGTCAGTGGTCTTGTCTCACTCCATATTGCTCCCAACTTCTTCTGGATCCTTATGGTTCCCCCATTACAAGCTCTATACATGGTCCCCTCCCCCTGAGGTGGTTTGCTTCCAAACAGGGACCCTCCCATGATTCCAGAGGTAGGGCTACCTGGAGAGAATCAGGTTAGAATGTTTAATCAATTCCTCTGCAGGCCTGAAGATCCTTTGTATGGGCTTTACAATACAGGAGAATAGAACTTCATTTAGTACTTACCGTGTTTCCCCCATAAATAAGCCCTAGCAGGAATTCTAAGCATTTGTACAATATAAGCCCTACTCTGAAAATAAGACCTAGTGATGAGCATGGCTATGCAGCGTATCTGCACAACCCATGCATTTTGTTGCGGAGTGGTAAAGAAGAAGAGCAGCCCTTCCCCTCTGCCCCATCATTACAGCTACTATCCCAGAGGTGACCGTAAAGGTGCGGGCAGCCCCACCAACAAGGTCGGCTCCCCCTGTCAGGTTCCAGCCATCCTGTGCGTGCTGCAAGCTGAGGTTTTGAGAGGAAGGTAACACATCCCCTGAAAATAAGCCCTAGGGTGTCTTCTTGAGGAAAAACAAAATATAAGACCCTGTCTTATTTTCAGGCAAACACGGTAGTACAGAGAGCTTCCTGAAGGCTTTGGTCCACCAGGGTCAAGGGAGACCTTTACTCAAGCTCTCCTTCCTCTGGCCCAGCTCAGTCTCTTCTCTGAAATCCCAGGCCTCAAATTGCTTCTTCTAGAACCACCAAAGGAAACAGAAACTCTTGAATATTGACTTTATTATGCAGAGCAGTTTAGCCCCTTTGGGCTATGAGGGCTTCAGGGCCTTACCTTTGGTAACCAAAGGGCCTATTAATGTGTTTTCCCAAGACAAAAGATAAATTCTTTCCCAAGATGAATTCTTCTCCCACTCTTGGAATGCAGAAATGCTGCAATTGAAAAATACAGCAAAGCAAGAACAGCTCCCTTTATTTGTACTTCCATTATTTACCACAGAAATAAATAGTGTTAATACGTGTGCTGTGATGTAAAAGAGATAGATTTTATATCATAATACATACATAGTAATGCACACAAACACATGACTTAAATGAACATATCTACTCCTATTACTTGGGATACACACCTTGATATTTTCTATTGTTTCAATTTTAAAATGCTGATCAGGACCCATGTAGGAAAGCAAAATATGCCTTCCTAAAATATGACCGTAGGACACCTGAATATGCCACCGTAAAAGAGCGAAAAATGGCTTACCTCCATCCTTCTAGATTCTTTGGCTGGATTACAAATTAAATTGGCATAAGACAGATTAATGGGAGAAAAACTATATTTAACCATGTATGTACACATGGGAGTCCCACAAAATATGACTTGAAGAAGGGTCAGATAATTGAAGCTTATGTAACATCCTGAGCTACAGAAAGGAATAGGGTCTCAGGGCTTCTGAGGGGTGGTGAGGACAAGTTATGGAAGGATGAAAGAAGGAAATGTATGGCAAATAAAGGTTGTCTTGTTATGTAAACACAAAGTTTCTCAGGTAGTAAAAGTTGTCTGGAGCTTCCCTCAGAAGAATAGGTGATAGTCTGTGTGGGCTGGTGTTAATGTCTAGTCTCCTTTTCTGTGATCTCAGTTAAATCTTAGCCGGTTAATAAGATTTCTGGGGAGTGACTCATGACAACTGAATTCCCTTTGGAGGATCTGTCTTTAGGAAGTGTGAACAAACACAAATCTGAAAGAGCAATCCTTCAAGATGGATACCAAGTGGCTAACTGGGCCTAAATTTAAAATAAAGTCAAGTGGCCATTTGCTGACTGGGGTCACACACATACTGTGAGTTTCCTGAAAACCAGCACCTTTCAATCTTTGGACTTTCAGAGCTCACCAGCCAATGAGAGCTCACCAGCCTCAACAAATCAGGGCTGTGCTATATTCATCAATCAGAACTCAGCTGCATCAGCCAATCATAGCTAAGGAAGTTTCAATCCTTCATTTGTATAAACAAACCTGATTGGGAACCAGGACAGGAAATTTTGTTATAAAATCTGAACCCTCCCTTTGTTCTCTGGACCATGCCTTCAGAAGGCCGTCGTATTGCCAGGTTGCAAACTGGTCACTGGAATAAAGTTTGTGTCTTCTGAATTCCTTTTCAGAGAACTTTTGATCATAGCAGATAAGGGGCACTTAGAGAAAGCCTCTGCCTGCATCTGCTGTTCCCCAAGTACCCTCAGATCAAAGTAATCAGCACACCCAAGCACCATATTTGGGGGTGGCATTTCCTAAAGCCCCTCAATACCCCAAATATGCCTTTTTAGCGTGAGGATTATTTTGATCTGATTATTTTGAGAAACAGCAGACAGAGGAGCTCTGAAAACAGTACAGGTTACCCTTTTGCAAGGGAAATTTATATTTATAAAGTAAGTCTCCATTTGTAAGGCTATCTGCCTCTCTGTACCAGGAATGGAAGGATGGCTCTAAACTACAAGACTCTTATCAATACTGAAGGCACTGACTTAAATCTGCAAGGCAAACCTTACCCTTGTTTACTGTATTTTTCCTGGTCACCTTCCCATAACTTGCCTTCTCCACAGCTTTCTTCTTTTGCTTAGCTAAAGATGATATCTAAGCTCAAGTTTTAGCTACCCCTTTGAGTTATTCTTGTCTGAATTTCTCTCTCTCTCTCTCTCTCTCTCTCTCTCTCTCTCTCTCTCTCTCGTGTGTGTGTGTGTGTGTGTGTGTGTGTGTGTGTAGAAGGAAAAGATCTTTTTCTTTCCGTACATCCACTAAATATTTTTCATGACCTGCTGATGGCTCTCACCATGCACTTTGAAAAACACTGCACAGACTACCCCCTTACCTTCCCACTCAGGGCTAAGATAAGTATTTGCGTAATGCTTTAATGCCTACAAAGCATGTTTTAAAGCATACATTATCCCATTTAATCCTTGCATGACCCTAAAATGGGAATAATAACTTCCTTTTTATAGATAGGGAAAACAAAATCTAAAATGTTGGAGCAGCTTGTCCAAAGTCACACAGCTAGAGAAGGGAAGAGTTTCGATACAAATCTCTGAATCTAAATCCAGTGCTCTTTCACCAAAACCAGGCTCCTAGACGCACTTTATCGATACTCTCAATTTCTATGGATTAGGTTAAACTAGAAAAAGGAAGGTGTTTTTGTGTTTACTGGATTCTTAGTGCTCACAGCATCTCAGAATTCTTCTTTGTCAGCCTGTAGCCCGCATACCTGTGTTTCTTTCCTACCCTTTTCCCACCCTAGAGGGACTAGCAGAGCTGGGAAGGCCTTTGCAGAGTACGAGGGACACCTGCACCCAGGCCATGAGGTCCCTGTGTCTACCTCAGCCTCTCTATGCTTGCCCTTGGGTTTGAGTGCTTCCTCTGAGCACAGCAGGAGGGCCCAGTCCCTGCCCTAGGCTGGGAGTGGGAGGGACTCAGCCCAGTGGTTTTGTTGGTTCAGGCTGCTATAACAAAATATCATAAACTAGGTAGCTTATGCAGAATAAAATAAAATCTTAAACCCCCCAGCCAACTGACAGGACTCCCTCTTAGTCATGGGGACCTCAGAAAAACCTTAAAGCTGAGTTGCTGGCCATGAGGAGAAGGGAGGTCAGACACACCTAGTTATGCCCTGTACCTTCTGGAGTTACTCTTTGTAACAATAAGATACTAAATCATTAACAGGCCTAAGGCCATATAAGACAAAGGTTAAACCATACCTGCAGGTCATCAATTTACTTAACAGATCACTTGAGTTTCAGTATAAGTCTAATAGCTTATCTCTGATTAACAGACTTTCTTATCTTAACTTAAAACATTCTGGGCCTTTAGACAAAGCTTCCTGTCTTTAACCAATTGCAAATCAAAGAATCTTTAAACCCACCTATAACCTGTAAGCACCCACTCCCCAGGCTTAGTTAGAGATGTCTTGGCTTTTCAGGCCAAACCAATGTATTGATTTACAACTCCATGAGTAATTCCTGTCTCCTTAACCCTTTGCTTTTTTCTCAATTCCTTTATTCTACTCGGGATTTAATTTTTTAAATACCCCAGATTTTACAAAGCGTGGCAGTAGAATAAAAAACTGGAGTTTCTTTTCATACAAACTTATTTATTTGGATTTTTTAATATTTCAAATTATTGAAACATTCAAAGAGTAATTTTAATCTCTATAATTTTTGCTAACCGTGGGATGTTTTGAAGAGACATAAAACATTTTGCCATTTTTTCGAGCTATTTCTTCTGTTACATATTCCCTCAATATCACCCTTCCATATCTATGGGAAGAGGGGTGTCCACTCTGTTATACTAGGTTCTCTAATTGCCTATGAATTAAATTGACATAAGACAGTGTCGAGTCACACTCGACATCCGAGTGCAAAGGGTTAAAATATACAAAACCAACTGTAACCTGACCACTCTTCAAGGCTGCTTAGGTGGGGCTCTCCGGGCCATGGTTGCACATATTCAGCTCAGAATAAACCTCTTTAAATTATTTTACAGTTTGGGTTCTTTTCTGTTGGTACTTATAACTCATAGAAGCTTATTTCTCACAGTTCTGCAGTATGGGAAATCCCAGACCAAGGCTCTGGCAGATTCAGTGTCTGTTGAGGGCCCACTTCCTGGTTCATAGATGGTGCCTTCTTGCTGTGTCTTTGTATGGTAGAAGGGAAAATGCAGCCCTCTGGGCCTCTTTTATAAGGTCACTAATTCCATTCATGAGGGCTCTGCTCGCCTCCTAAAGGCCCCACCTCCTAATACCATCACCTTGGGGTAAGGATTTTAATGTATGAATTTGGGGGTGACACAAACATTCAGACCATATTACCAGGAAGCTGGAACATGATACCAGGTGTTGGGGAGGGAAAATGGCTTTCCACTACTCTTCTAGTGTTACCAAAAGTTTGGCACTTGTCCCCAAGGCTACATCAGAAGAATGAGGACAAGTGGTTTGAGAGGGAAAAGGGAGTTTATTAATTTTCTGGCAAATGAGGAGGCTTGCAGACTCCCATCTCAAAGTACCAGCATCCTCCTTCTGAGCAAAGTACAGAGCTTTGAAAGGTTCCGATCAATCCCATCTTGGGTTAAGATAATCTTGTGACCTTCTCCTGGATTAATCCTGTCTTCAGCTAAGATGATCTCATGACCTCCATCCAGATGATTCTCTTAAGCCATGTCCTGTGGCACAAAGAGCAG